AATATAAATATCTAGGTGCCGTTCTGCGATCGCATTTGTGATCGCAAAAACGGCATTGTTGCGCGGATTCGTCGCTCTATGGAGCGACCATTGCACGAGGCACCACTGTATTTCCAATCCTTTGGGAGAAAGCAGCGTAGCTGGCTGTTATTCTCATTTCCCGTCACATCTTTTGGAGTAACCCTGTGGGATGGTGCGACCATGTCCACACGAGGCTTATTGGAGATTTTAAAAATGGCCCTTCCCAGCCTAAAGAAGTGCGTACGCTGTGAAGCTGATGGTGGCAGTGAGAGAGCGAACTGAAAGAGTCGTTCCACCAGAGGATTTCTTTAGCCCCATTAAATAGAAATAAATAAAGATAAAGTTAAACGGTTTAATAATCTCACCTCAGTGTGCCATAAAATCTTCGTGGCTATGAATCGGACAAATTTAGAGACTTCATTGGCAAAAGGAAGAAGAACAGTCCAGACGTTTTGAACGTTCAGAAGCTGCAAAAAAGTAATTAGAAACACAATTCAACAAAGCAAGGAAAGGAGTTGAAGCAAATTCATGAATAAAAACAATGGAAAACACGCATGCATGCTTGTAATTATGAGGAAATGGAGAAGACCTGCGTTATCAGAAGGAAGGGGTCAAGAACCTAATATTACTGCCTTCAAACAAAAGTTTTAAAAGGGAAACTACTGTATAAGGAATGTGAATTAAAAGGGGGAATGGGAGGACAACATTATGTTTTTGAACGTTTATTTATTTGTATTACAGATGACAGAAGTGGCATCAAACCCTCTTCCATCCTATTTTAAAAAATTATCAGCCCCTTTCCCTTCTACATGGGGCATACAAGGCCATTGAAGATCTACCCCTGTATCTCTTCTAGTCTCAAAACAACCCTTTGTTAAACTGGCTAGATTCAGAGATGAGAAAGGTTACATTTTGGGGGCTACAGCTCCAGTAGTGGGATTCTAAGAACTTTAATCCAGAAATATAACCATTCCCACATGTCTGGACCGGAGCAGTTGCTCCTGCTGTGGGTCAGTGGGTGGTTTTGGTACTTGTTCCGTATAGAACAACTTTCCCTGTTTCTGGACTAAAGGAAAAATAAGCCTAAAAGTTGGAAATAGCACACAAGTATCAATGACATCCGCCTCTGTATTTCAAACTCAAATTCAAGCAGTAACCCCAATACTTTTGCTATGTATATCCTTTTCATTCATTCTATTATTTTTTCCTTTTAGCATTAGGAAGTTACAAAGAGAATGGAGGTGAAAACTACATGCAAGGCCCAGTAACCAATTAAGAAAAAGCATAAATTGATGTACTCTAGCTTTCCTGGCAGGGCACTTCTCAGTAAGACTCCCTCCATCACAAGTGCCACTGGCTTGTTGATTATGGATAATGGGAACTGTAGTACATCACACTTGGAGTGCATTAAGTAGGATAAAAAGTCTTATTAAACCTAAGCAGGATGGGAACTGATCTAGAGAAAAAAAGGCCCATGTAAGGATGGAAATCTATTTAATAAATCCATAAAATGGTTACTTTAAAAAGTAACAGGTAGCTAAGAAAAACTACTGAAGGGGGAAAAAGCAAGGAAAATTAAAAACCAAGTTTTGGTTATTCACTTATATCAATTCCCAATTCATGCTGAGAAGTAAGAAATGTATTATTTCCACTTATTCCCCAAACATCAAAGAATATTAGGGGAATATGAAAGCCTAGAAGGTGTGCATAGAAACACTGCTTTAAGAAGGACAAATTAATATATTTTACTCTGCCTTTTAATGCTAATTCACTTCAATCAGCTCTTCAAGAGAACTCCCAAGATCACAATTTAAATCAAATCAAAATTTCTGGATGCTAAACACTAAATTCCCACACATTTTCATGAATTGGGAATTTGATATTCCTTCGGATAGGGCGAGATTCTCCTCTTTCATTTCCAAAATAACTGCTGGGGGAAAAAAGAACAGGAAGTCATCCACAGAGACTGGAATACATTAAAAGGGTCAGAGGATGACACAACGCCATTGTGCAAGTAAGATTTAAATATGCAGCTGTGGGTAAGAAGAGAAAGTTATCGCTACCAGGTTCCAAGATTGCTCGATGGTCAAGAGACTGAGGATCAAGACGCTAATGAAGGCAACCAAGGGCAGATATTTCCATCATCCACCTGCCTATAAAATATGCTTTCAATTTGTTTGTCTGTTTGCGTACAACTTGATTTATCAGCTGCCTTTTAGGTACAGCTGCCTCTTCAACAAGAGTTCAAAAAAACAAAACATAAGAATCATCATCACCACCTCATAGAACCTCCTTAAAACTTAGCAACAAAAACATGAGAAGCAATTAATTAAAACAACTACAGTGGTGCCTCACTAGACGATTGCTTCGTTTAACGACGAATTCGCTTTACGATGAAGTTTTTGGAGCGATCTTGCATTTCGTTTAACAATGTTTCCTATGGGCGATTTTTGCTTTACGATGTTAGGGACCTTGCCTCGCAAGACGATTACATTTTAGGTCCCTGTTTTTCGCTTTACGATGTTTTTGACAGCTTGGTCTTGCTTCACTTTACGAGTCTTTTAATGGTCTCTGTTTCGTTAGACGGCTGTCTTCGCTTGGAAACCGCGTTTTGCTTAACGATGTTTCCTATGGGAATTTTCGCTTAACGATGACAATACGTTCCCATTGGAATGGATTATCAGGTTTTCAATGCATTTCAATGGGAAAACGTGTTTCGCAAGACGATCTTTTCGCTTAACAGCGATTTTCACAGAACGAATTAACATCGTCTTGCGAGGCACCACTGTACTACAAAAAAAAAGTCAAGGTGAAATTATCTATAAACAAAATTTCAGCTTGCTTATACATACTCACTTTAAAGTCGCTTCCAGTTAAACTTTCCAAAGACAGGCAGGTGGCATTTTGGAGAGGTGAGCCGTGTGTGCGCTGGGAGCTCACCATGGCAGAAAGGGAGGATATAAATATAAGGAATGGAGGTGTGCTGGTCTGTAGTTTTGGACTGCAATTCCCAGAATTGCCCAGTGGCTTTGTTGCCTGGGCAATGCGCCTTACGAAATTCTGAGCACTGTAGTCCAACACACCTTTTAAAAATGAGGATCGGGGATGGCTCACTTGTAATATCTCATACAGGCGGCTAGACAGCAGGGTCTCAGTGGCTGACCAGAAAGCCCAGCAGGCTTCATTTATTATAGTCTCATTATGAACCAGCACTCCTCAAAGGGCAGGCCCATCATATTCAAACATTATGAAACTCTTAACACAAGTGAGGCAAACGTATTAACGGTCAGTCCAAATCAGCTTCACTCTGCTTTCAATTCAAGCTATATCCTGCCTGATATGGGTACTTTGACACCTAATTTGGGGTTTGTCGGAGAAGCTATAATTACCAAACTGGAGAAATAGGCTCGGCATGCTCTCAATTTTATTTCTTCTTTGTCTATTACACAAATGAAAAGTTCTGGTTGGAATGGCTTGCCTCCTAAGCCGTTCATCCACTAATACTTTTAGTATCTCTTGGTATTATGTGCTTCTTTATTCATACCCTCTCCTCCTAAGGTGCAAATGCAAATACAACCCCTCAATTACTCAGCTTCGGAGAAAATGCTACGGTCACCTTCCCTTTCCAAAAAGCTGTGCATACATTTTAAAAGTGACTCCAAACAACAAACACCAGACCAAACACAAATGTTTTACAGAACTTCTCTTGTCTCTTCCACCAAAGGCATTTTGTGACTCAGTTTTTGTCCCTTGTTTATTTCCAAGGTGGGGTTTCTTTCCAGGAATGTCTATTATAAATTACTTGGCTTACAGTAACAGGTCAGGGTGACAATGATCCATCAGAGAGACTGATAGAGAAATTCAATTTAATTAATATGTCAAATAGGAAAAAAGAGAAAAGTCAACCAGATCAGATGGACAGAAGCTAAGCTAAACTGTCCTTTACCAATGCCAAAGCCCAACAGTGCTTTCTACCATTATCTGTAACATATACATCTCCATTCCAGTGTCTCCATGTACATCACCAAGAAGAAGACAAAACTGATCTGATTAAAATGCATACACCAATACATACATGCACTTGAAAAATCAGAAACAGATATCATTTAAAGAGAATTATAATATATCTCCTCAGTGTGCAGGAGACGTAGACCAAGTAAACTGTGTTCCGCTGCCCATTGAAGCTGCTTTCCAGGGATTATCTGTTGATAAGCAACTACAAAGCCCCCATTTCCTCTCCTTACCTACCTACCTACCTACCTACCTACCTACCTACCTACCTACCTACCTACCTACCTACCTACCTACCTACCTACCTACCTACCTACCTACCTACCTACCTACCTACCTACCTACCTACCTACCTACCTACCTACCTACGCAAAAGAGAACACTTGGCTACTCTAATCTGACCATTTTGGAGTTCCAGAGATGTCCATCTGTGAGAACTGATATTTTGGAATTCCAGAGATGTCCATCTGTGAGAACTGATCAACTTTAATTGCTCTGTCACCGCACATCAGCCAGAAGAGACACAACCCACTCATCAGCTCTGTCTGATTCACTTGCCAGTCCCCCCAAAGCAGAAAAAGTCCTACAGCCCTCTAGGGCTCAGCCCCTCCATAGCGCTGCAACAAAAGCTACGGGGCAAAACCCAAGACAGGTGCTGAAAGCTTGGCAGATAATGGGCTGCAATTCCCACCATTGAGAGAAAGGGCAGCTAAAGATGAAGGGGAAATGTAGTCCCACAGTGTCTGGGAGGGCATAAGCTCCTCACACCTGGCCTAGAGAAAGGAGCATCTTCAGCCTTCCAAATGTTTTCATAGCCCAACTCTAGCCATTAAGGTCAATAGGCAGGAATGAGGGGAGTTGTAGTCCTTAATTCTACAATAACAACAACAGGTTAAAACTTCTATCTGTTATATGATACCATGTTTTTACACTTTTAATTGACTGTACCTTATATTTTTGGATGATGATGCACAGTCAAGTTATTTCTGACTTACAGTATGGTGACTCTTTCCACAGGTTTCTAGTTACATACCGAAGTGGTTTTCTACTACATTTGTCAGGGTATGTGTGTGCTTGCCCAAAGCCACACGGGCTGACTTTTCTCCCTGGAGACACAGGGGAGAATAAAACTTACAACCTTTGGCTCTGCAGACAGATACCAAAATCACTGAGCTATCCAGCCAGTTATTCTCTAGAGCAGAGGTCCCCAACCTTGAGCCTCCAGAGTCTAGCCAGTTATTCTCTAGAGCACAGGTTCTTAACCTGTGGTCCGTGGACCCCGAGGGGCCGCAGTGACCTCACAGGGGGGTCTACAAAGGCTTGAAGAGATGTTATCTTCTTAATTAAAATAGAAGGAAGGAAGGAAGGAAGGAAGGAAGGAAGGAAGGAAGGAAGGAAGGAAAGAAGAAAGGAAGGAAGGAAGGAAGGAAGGA